GCTTCAGCTCGGCCTCTCCATCCACTCTTTCTTCAGACTTCTCGGTGGTCTTCTGGAGTTGACGGGCCATTCGTCGCGCTGACCGCAGCGTGGCTCCAGCTCCGCCCCAGGCTCCGCTGCGCCCGCACCGCCGGGCCCCCCTGCCTCCCGGCTCCGCCTCCGCCGCCGGTCCACCGCCCGATGCCACATCTTTTCTCTACTCTCCACTCACCACCTCGCCTGCCGCCGCCACCACACACCGCTCCGCCACCACCATCGCTCGCCGAATCACCGCTGCTGGGGTCCCACCCCACCTCCCAATGGAGGAGGGTGCTCCCTGCCTTCTAAGGCAGGTACCCATTCATCTACTCGCAAGTTGTTAAGGCTTTCGAACCGCTGGGTGGGCGGGAGCTGGGACTAGGGCCAGGTGCTCACTCCAGCTGTGGTGGGTCTCGAATAGCCTACAGGCTGTTCGCTAAGCTTGTTCATGAAATACACTACATATTCACAAAATTGGAAGGGGACCTTGACTCACTGTGGGCCCTGTTTGTGGGCTTACAGGATGGGGAGAGGCAGTAGGGCAATGAATGACCATGGTGGCCACTTCCTTCAAGGCAGGGCAGGCTGCATGGGCAGCTTGGAGGCCAGGTGGCAGCAGCGGTGGGAAAACCTGGCCCTCCCCTTTCGTGGTGGGTCTATGATGGGGCCTGAAGAAGACACAGGGGAGGGGGGAGGGGATGGACCACTGTGGGCAATAAAGCATGCCACACCACTCAGCCTCCTCAGTTGGCCACGCGGGATCATTTGCCAACCCATCCCTCCCTATGTTTTGTTCATGAAGGGAAGAAGAATTCTGGGGTTTGTAGGTGTCTCCACTGAGGAGGTTACATTATTGGAAGCATGGAAGCATTCTTGTTCACAATGATTTCTGCTTTATTCTTTGTCACAACTTATGGCAGTATCAACATGGGGTCAGATCCATTTTAGGAAAACCAACCTTTATGCCTTTTTCCCTGCATGTGGGGATCCCCTTAAGGGATCTTGGAGTGAGGGCTTTCAGGGGCATGCCCAGCTCAGGGGCTGCCAAGGGGGCATGCCCAGCTTGGGGGTTGCTAACAGGTTACCCTCACACTCAGATGGCGGGGGAGACTGCTTAGCTGCAATTGTCCTTGTGGTATCCAGCAACCTGCCATTCCATGCTTCTCCCCACCTCAGCAAGTGGGCTAGGTGGGACAGGGTACATCAACTGGCAGGTGGGTCAATCAATGACAGGATCCAGTGGACCCATGCTGTTCCAAGGTTTCTTACAGCTGTAACCAATAAAGGATGTGGCCAATTTATTCCACATTCTATTACAAAAATACTCTCTCTGTGTGGTTTTATTAGTGGGTAGTTATAAAGGGGTCCTCGCATTCGCTGCCCTCTCCCCTTCTTTAGGGACTGGAACTGCAATGACTTTTGATTTGGACATTCTGGGTAGGATCCAAGCAGGTTTCCCACCATAATGAAGTGAGGAAGGATGTGGTGGTGACTGTGGACCCTTTGTGGACAAAAGTTATGTGTGGCAGGGGCCTCAATAAAGAAGAAGAAGAGATTGGATTTATACCCCGCCCTTCACTTGGAGTCTCAGAGCGGCTTACAAACTCCTTTCCCTTCACCTCCCCACAACAGACACCCTGTGAGGTGGGTGGGGCTGAGAGAACTCTGACACAAACTGCTCTTTTTCAAGGACAGTTGTGCCAGAGCTTGTGACTGACCCAGGTCACATCAGCAGGTGCAAGTGGAGGAGTGGGGAATCAAACCCGGTTCTCCCAGATTAGAGTCCACGCACTTAACCACTACACCAAACTGGCTAAAGGGGGAGATTTGGCAAATTTTAGCAAAATCTCCTTGATTACAAATTTGCCTTTTTTACCAGAAACACTACTCCTAAACAATTGGTCAGATCCACAGTGCAACAAGAGTAAAACTGTTCTGATCCACACTTAGCCATAGCCAGAAATACCATAGCCACGACATGGCTAGACAAACTTCCCCCCCATGCAAAATCTTATTTGGGACCACTTCATTATGTCCAAAATATGACTTAGCACACTCAATCTCTCCTCCAGGAAATTTGAAGAAAAATTTATAGCATCATGGTATTCACTCATTAACTATATGGTTGAATTTGATGTAATTCCCGCAAATCCTTTATACAAATCAATGATATACTTTTGAAACTTAAACCCGAAACATTATTTGGCTTAGATTTAAGATAATATCTGAAGTTATTTTCAGAACACTGATTTAAAATTTGCCTGTAAAGGTATGTATTTATTATACGAGTGTTGCCTTCAGAGATGTTTTGTAATGTGTAACATAGTCCTCTGGTGTCTTCAGCCTGAGAAGTTAAGCATTAATATTTTTGCTAACCTATTTTTGTACGTCATCTGCAGACATCTATTGTACTTACCTTGTATTGTTATTAAATTCTTAAATAAAAATTATAATTAAAAAAAAACTGACTGGATTCATTTTTGTTCATTGATAAAACAGATTGAGGTCCTAAAGACATTCAATATAGTTTAACTCCACTTTTTTTATCTTTGATAAATGAGCACATTTTAGCAATCCAGTAAATGCTTTATGGTTTTTTTTCCCAACTGAGGATCCAAGACATTTTCCAAATTTACCAATTTGTCTCAACTACAGTTTCCAATTAGCTACAAACATATAATGAATCCCTTAGATATTTCTGGTAACATTTCTAGCACATGACATTAAATTGTTACAGGAAATATAAAGCCACAAACTGGGGATATTGATTCTGTTGCAGATTGACCAAAGTCACATTGCCTATTGAATACTCTGCATTTCCCCCCTAATACTGTAAGGATGTTTTTCTCAAGAAACATCAATTACTTCAAGATTAGATGCAAGCTGATGGAGTCTGGATATTTTAAACTTCTAGAAATTGCACTTGAGAAGCTAGCATTATGCCCAGAAAGGTATGCTTAATCAATAATTTTAAACACAAATGTCTTGTAAGGTAAAGGTAAAGGTTTCCCTTGCTCAAAAGCTAGTTGAATCCAACTCTAGGGGGCAGCACTCATCTCCGTTTCCAAGCCAAAGAGCCAGTGCTGTCCAAAGGCTTCTCCATGGTCATGTGGGGGGCATGACTAAATGCCAAGGCGCATGGAATGCTGTTACCTTCCCACCATAGCGGTACCTATTTACTTGCAATTTCTTGCTTTCAAACTGCTAGGTTTGCAGGAGCTGGGGCCAGAGACAGGAGCTCACTCTGACATGTGGCACTAGGGTCTCAAACTGCCGAACTACAGACCTTCCAGTCTGCAACTCAGTGTCTCAACCTCTGAGCCACCGCGGCCCCTAAATGTGCAATGTATTTATTATGATGGTCAAGATCCAGTTATCTACTCATATGAGAGAGCTCTCATTTCTTCTGACCCCCCCTTCCCCAAATCCCCTGAAATCTCCCATGCCTTTGATATTCATATGTTCCTTTGACAAGGGTGTATTTTCAGGAGGTTCAAGGGGCAGCAACATGAGATGTAGGCCGGACACCTAACAATATAAGCAGAACTCTGATCATTGTTCTCTAGATCCAAGCCTCTTATTCTTGATAATGTATATCTACAACCAAGGGCTTATGGGGTAAAAGGGTTTTTAAGAGTTTCTACTTTGCTTTTAACATTCCATCAAAGATTGTTTGTTTAGAAGAGAATGCATTTGTATGCAGATCAAAATGTCTGCTAAAAGCTGGCCATTAGTATGCTGTACCACTGGTGATATACAGCCCCGTAGCCAGGATTTGGGGGGGGGGGTGCCAGGGTGCTGGTACATGGAAGGGCACAACTATTTAAATTAAATTGAATTAGCAGTGCCTCCACCCCACTGGAATCTTCCCCCAGCTTAAGGTCTCCCTTCCCTCCAGGCACCGAGAGGAGGGAGAGTAGTAGTAGCTGCTTTCCTGGCCCTTCTTACTTGGCAAACCAGGCCAGTATTGTTGAAACCATGCCACTGCTGAGCTGGCCTGAAGTGATTTCACTAACCCTCCTTTCTTCCTCCTTCCATAGGGAGAACTGCAGGAAGGAAGGAGGGTTAGAGAAATCGTTTCGGGCCAGTGGCAGTACGGCTTAAGCAATACTGGACCAGCCTGCCAAGCAGGAAGAACCACAGCCCCCAACGCTCCCCCCCAGTCTTAAGCCACAATCTTAGCTGCATGCTGTGCCAGAATGACGGTTCGGGACAGCAACCCTCCTTCCAGAGTGACACATGACTAACATTGTGGTTTAAGATTGAGGTGGGGGCATTGGGGTGGGGTGGGGCTCTGAAGATCTGGTAGGGGGCTCAGCCCCTAAAGCCCCATTGCTGGCTATGGCCCTGGTGGTGTATGATCTATTGCTCTCCCTGACTTCGGCCATCTGTAGTGCATAGAGGTACATTGAAAGTGTACATGGCAGCTATAAGCAGATCTTCTTTCTGACTTTCAGAGGCATGCTAAAAGCCAATGAAGATTAAGTTTACTGTGGAGCAGTGACCTCATCTGACTGTCTCTATGCAATGCCACCTACATGATTAAGGCAACACAAGCTGTGACACCTTGGATTAAAATAAAGTTTAAAAAATGAACTGAAATTTTATTATTTTAAAATATCCGTATAGTATCCTATTACCCTAATACAAGTAACATTGTAAATACTGAGAACCTAAGAAAAGTAAAAGACCCCCCTTCAATAACAAAAAACAACAACAATTTAGTAGGCTGGGCACACTGTTTAAGACAATTGGGTAATCTGGACCCACCTAGATTTTCACCCCTGCCTACAGCCTATTAGAAATGTGTGGCTTCTTTCCTCACCCAAGAAACTCTGTTACTCTTATGAAAACTCATTTGGCTTCCTCAAAATTCTTCAACTATTGTCCAGAAGTATCTTCAGAATTTGCTTTGGTAATCCCTCGGGTATGGCAAATGTTTGAGACTTTGATGATTACATTCCAGAAGAATTTGCTTTGAATTTTGGTGTAGAATTCTATGATCTTGCATCTTATTTCCAATGTTTCTTACAGATTCCACCCAACACAAATATTTTAAAGAGACATTTAAAGAGACATTTAAGGCTAGCATTATACTTGCACTTCTGTGTCTACCATTTCAACATGATAAATGCAACAGCAACTCAAGGACTGAGGAACCAAACAGATCTCACAGAATTTATCCTCTTGGGAATCAATGATGTGCCTGAATTACAGATATTCTTCTTTTCGGTCTTTCTCCTAATCTACACAGTGACAATATCTGGAAACCTTCTCATAGTGGTCCTTATTGCATGTGATCAGCATCTTCACACCCCCATGTACTTCTTCCTGGGGAATCTTTCATGTCTAGAAACCTTCTACAGCACAACTATTCTACCGAGGATGATCACAGCCTTCTTAACAGGAGACAGAACCATTCCTATTTGGGGCTGCTTTTTACAATATTATTTCTTTGGATCCCTCGTGGGTTCAGAATGTTATCTGCTGGCTGCCATGTCTTATGATCGCTTTTTAGCAATTTGCAAGCCACTTCATTATTCAGTCTTAATGAATAATACACTTTGTGTACAGCTTATTATGACCTCATGTTTCAGCTGTTTTCTGCTTAACTCCATAACAACATATCTGATGTCTCGGTTATCATTCTGTGGTCCTCATACACTTGACCATTTCTTTTGTGATTTCACCCCAGTGATAATGCTTGCCTGTGAGGACACTCGTAGGATGGAATTGATGGCTTTCAGCCTCTCTTCCTTGATAGCTCTTGTTCCATTTCTTTTGACCCTGATTTCTTACAGTTTTATCATCTCCACTATTCTACGAATACCCTCGACCACAGGGAGACAAAAAGCCTTTTCCACTTGCTCCTCCCACCTTACTGTAGTTACAGTTTTCTATGGGACCCTTGTGATTGTCTACATGATTCCCAAAAATGACACACTGAAAGAGCTCAACAAAGTTTTCTCTGTCTTTTACACTGTTTTAACTCCCATTGTCAATCCCATTGTTTACTGTTTGAGAAACAGAGACGTAAAGGAGGCTTTGAATAAGCTTACCAGTCAATTGTGTAATTTTTTCAGGGACGCATGGATCCTGTCATAGTAGCTTTGGGTTAAGAATGAGAAAGAGCTGTCTTCTGATTTTGACGCAATATTAGGAATTCTGATTCAGAGTTAAGATACTTTATTGATGTACTTTGTTATGTGGATGAACACATACTTCCTGTTGATTCCCAGACTAGATCCGCCCAAAGCAAGGTTATCTGTTATGTTGATTAACCAGATTCACTTGTAGTGAAACAAAGCAATAACTCTCTCTGTAATATACAAATGTTATTGCAATACTATCCCAGGCATGTTCTGGAAAGGCAAAGGAGTTTACTGACCAACCAATATTGTACTATCAAATTTATGTTTTTTATATATGATACTCTTATTGATAGGGTTGCCAGGTATCTGGAGATCTCCCAGAATTACACCTGATTTCCAGACTACTGAGATCAGTACCCCTGGAGAAAACAGCTGCTTTAGCATTACACCTTATTGAGGTCCCTCCCCTCCCCAAAACCTGCCCTCCCAGGTACTGTCCCCAAATCTTCAGGAATTTCCCAACCCAGAGTTTATCTGTGAGTGAAATCAAATTGCTTCAGGCCATCCCCTAAAATCTTTGGAAATCCAGCTCCTGCTGTTCATGGCTTCAAAACTGTCCCCCCCTCCCCACAAGGTAATAAAAAAGCTTGTGGGTGGGCATTTTGAGGAGACCAGGCTTCTCTCTCAACTAGGGTGCAGAAATATGTAAGCAATAAAGGCTTGATCAGGCCCGTAGCTACAGTGGGGCATCTTGGGGCTAGGCCCCCTGACTTACTGGCAAGGCCCCCTGACTTCCCATCTAGCCCAGAGTGTCATGGCCTTCTCCCCTGGATTAAATTGATTAGCCAGTGCCCCCTAAGAAATTTAAATGCCCCCTGACTTTAAAAATCCTGGCTATGGGCCTGGGCTTGATGCTTAGTGGAATCCCTGTGCTGTTTTGTATGGTAGGACTAGCAGGTTTCTTAAAAGCAGAGCAGGAATTTAGTGATCCTTTCTGGTTAGCTGAGAAATTTTTCTTTTTTGCCAGTTTCACTTTGTAGAATAGGCAATATTCATGTGAACAGACATGATTTAGACTAGTTAAGCCCTACCGGAGTTGGCTGGTATAGTGTCTGTGATTTTTCTAGTTAGGGATGTTTGGTGAGTGTCATGAGGCATGTTATGATGACGAGGGAGGGCTTCCTTGACTGGCATCTCAGGGAAATTGGAGACCCCTCCCCTCAGGGCTAAGGCTTCACCACCTTAACTCTAAGGGTAAGGGAGGGGAACAGTGGTAGAGAAACCGCTCAGGTCAACATAACATTCTACATAGGCAAGGAAAAACTACAGAGGGCTTGTTATCATAGCCTGCATTGGTAGTAGGGCTATAATCTGTCTGAGATAATCTATCTAATAAAGATATCCGAGTTGAAACCATTTGGTTATATTTGGGGCAAAAAAAAAATATGACTCCCAATAATACTAGAATTGGAATGTCACGAAGTGTATACTCCTTAACCCTGTCTTCATCCCAAATTTCCATACAGCATGGGTACAGAGAAATAAACATATACCCTCCCAAACAGTAATTAGTGCTATGGTCATTTGCACTACTGTGAGGCTGTGGAACAATGTTTCTGAGATTTATAGCTAGAGGAGGAATTTACTCAGAACTCAGCATTCAACTGTACTGTCAGAAGAAGGACAATCCTCTCTTTCCTGACAGTTCATATTCCATTTCATTTGACTCTGAAGTCTTACACTTTTTTTCATCTCCAGTATCCTGAGAATTTCCTCAATCACATGTAGACAGAAGGCCAGAAAGGCCTTTTCCACCTGCTCTTCCCTCCTCAGTAAAGTTACAGTTTTCTATGGGACCCTTATCTTTGCCTACATGTTTTCCAAAAATGGTATACTGAAATACCTTAACATTTTTTTCTTTTGCAGTGTTCTAATTTGCATTGCCAATCTCACTGTTTACTCTATGAACAAATAAGAAGTAAAGGAAGCTTTGATAAAGCTTTACAGCAAATTGCATAGTATTGTAAAGAATTAGAATTGGAGTTGGGATTAGAATGAGAAAGATCACTCCCAATAATATAAAAGTTGGCCATCTTCAAATATATACGCTTTTGTCTCCCACAGGCTGTCCACATTGCTAAGTATTTATCTGCCTGTTTTAGAGCCAAGTAATGGAAACTGTTTCCATATATATTCTACACAATATATTCTACAAGTCTTTCTTCCTTCATCTTCCTGCAGCCTAACTTAATGGCCCTTGGAAAGTCAGTGTCTCCCTACTCCAGTTCTCTTTGTGCAAAGTGGGTATATGGATGTACTAAGTAGCTGAAGAGTTGTGAACATTGATGAGAAAATGACTGCTGAGTGCTGACCCCAACAAAAGGGTGTTAGAGATGAACAACCAGAACAAAAATTAACAATTTATTTATTTGATACTTTCATGTTTTTTGCTTTTCTGCTTGGGCGGTTTATACCTCGAAATCTTTAGTCTATGACTTACAAATTGCAATAATAATAATAACAACAACAACAACAACAACAACCACAATGATGATGATAATAATAATAATAATAATAATAATAATAATAATAATAATAATAATAATAATACAATATTATGATGAATACAGTATGCATCCACTTCTTTTGGTGACCTTTAGAAATGGCACAAAACTTATTCTGAAGATCAACCTGGGCCCCGGTCACACGACAAAGTTGCTGCAGGAGAGGCACAGGAGTCCCGCGAATTTTCTGGGTGCAATCTCACCCCAACATCTGGGAAGCGCAGTGCTCCCGTGGCAAACCCGTGACTCCCCACCAAAGGTGTGGAGTTAAAAGCATGGCATCTGATTGCATTCCCGGTGGACTTACGTGGCATCCGGTGCCCGCCGCTGTTCGTCTCTGCAGGTTGCGCAACAGCGCCAAACAACGCATGCGCACAAAGAGCGATTGCTAGTGCAATCAAGCGGCGCGACTTCTGTGCCGTGCTGCAGGATACCCATCTGATTGGCATTTCCCCTGAACCACGGGACCTCAACTGCGTGCTTGGGCTGCTGCGACTTAGTTTCCTCTGGGGCAATTAGCCACGCCTCCCCCCCCCACGATATCCGGCCCGTGTGACCGGGGCCGTGATATGTATTTGCCATGATGAACAAGGTTTTGTCAATTTATTAGTTTTATTTGCAGATTTTATTTAAAACATTATATGCTATCTTTCTACCTGATCAGGGTCCTCAGGGTGGTGCACATAAAAACATTAGAACAATTAAAAACAACATTAAGAATATTAAAATAATTCAGTAAAAACAAACAAACAATACCAGAACCAGGAAGAAAAGGTAGTTATTGGGGATATGCAAAATGAAACAAACAAAAAGTCTTCATCTGCTGGTGGAAGACACCAATAAAAAGTGACAGACAATTTTCCCTGGGGAGGGAGTTCCAAAGTTTCTATTCTTAAAGCCCTAAATTCAGTTTTGGGAGACAGTGAACAAAGTGAAGAGTTAGGCTGCAGAACCTAATGCTCCACATTCCTATCTGTCAGCTAATGCTGCCATGGACTGGAATGGGGGGGGGCAGGAGTCATTTCCTGCAGGAGTGCACAGGAACGGAGCTCCGGCAGTAAAGAGCACATGCAACAAGCCCCGCCTCCTGCTCCCAGCAGCCTCGGGCCACAAGGAGCAATAAGCAGCCAGGTAAGTTGCAGAGCCCCCCCATAGCAATCCAAAACAGTCCAGTGGCACCTTTAAGTCCAAGGTTTATTCAGGTACAAGCTCTCCCTCCTCTGTGAGGGCAGATCTGTGCATTCCCCCCCATAGCTAGCAATCCAAAAGAGTCCAGTGGAGCCTGAGCAGTGGGTGTTGCCTTCTGACACACTTCTGGTGATGTCAGGGGGTGTGGCATATGCAAATAAGTTATGCTAATGAGTTATGTTAATGAGCTCCTGTACCTCTTTTTCTATGAAATGACCCCTGGGGGGCGCATTCTCCCTCTTCCCTGCTTTCCCTTCCCTTCTGCTATGCTCTGTTATCTGTTTGGTGTCCTTGAAGGCTTGACTCTGCCGGATCTGCTTTTCCCGCTGGGAATGTAACAGTTGTAGTTTGCCCACGTTTACAGGTGCTTGCTTATTGGGTTTACTGTATCACGGGGGTTGGTTTGAAGGGGATATAATTGTAGAAGCTGTTCTTTCTCCTGCTATTCCTGACAGAACAGTTCATAGTGTCTCAAGTACTAACTCTCAATAAACTGAAACTTCGGAAGGAACGTTGTTGAGTGTTTTGACTGGGAACCCTGACACGATCTCATCAACTTGGTGTTAGCCGAATTGCTCTTTATGATAAGCAATTGGAACAGTTTATTAATCGGGATACTGGTCTGTGAATACGAAGGATGGGCTGTGCCTAAGTGCTTCAATGAGGAGACGGAGACGGAAGTAAAAATCAATTTCTCTTTACTATTGGCAATTCAAGCACACAAGAATAATAATAAAACCACACTTACACACAAGAACTTAAGAAAAGTAGTTAGAAATATTACAGCACAGTTGCATGAGCAGGAATATCGTTGGTGGGGTATATTTACCTTCGGCGTAAGAGCGGCTCCTAAAACTTCCAGCGGGAGGTGGGACAGAGGGGAGAAAAGGGGTAGAAACACGTGTAGCTAGACCAGCCAGAAACACGTGTAATGACCTTAGCTGCAGACTAAGGCAAAGCGATTTGAGGATTTGGTATAGCAAGGGGACAAGAGAGGTCAAGCAGACATAGAGGGGTCATTGGTCAAAGCGAAGATGATTGACTGCTCCGTGTTCAGTGTTTTAAACCCTCTTGCAAGGAGGAGAGGGGTGGGCTCAAGCAGATTACCAGGTAGCCCTACCCTAAGGGTCAGTGATTGGCTATGGGGTCGATTTCCAATCTATTGATTAACTTGAGGGGAGGCACCTGGGCGGGGGCAGGATGTACGTGCTGGGAACCTCGTGCTGTTGACTCATCTCTTGCCATGTGGACTGGAACCTCT